GCTGTCGGGGGATGGAAAAGACCGACGCCGATGTCTGCAGCGATACGATCGGTTACCTCTGACACCTTTTTATGTACGGAAGAAGGTGCCAGAGCTTTGATGGTCCCCTTTCGTTTGCTTCCCGTGGGCGCGTTCGGAGGCATCGGTGGATAAAGCTGGTCGGGTAATTATTCCTGGCAAATTGGTCCTGAAAATGTCGTTATTCTTGCACTCGTCCTTCCGATTCACTGCAGTATGTCTTTACCCTCTGAAATAGTGCTCAAATATAGCCGCATTTATGCGTTATTGGGTGGTTGCTATGGAAGCTGAGCAAATGGGTTGTGTTAGTCGCCTTTCTATAAACCGTGGTGCTGAGTTCCTCGTTGGGTCTGCGCGTGACGGACATCCAGAAACATTAGTTGTCCGGAACTCTCTACCCCCTTTGTGAATTGAATATCGGGGAAGATACCGTTAAGCAGGTTTTGGAAGTCTGCTAGCCTGAGCCTTTTGATTATAACGAAAGTGTCGTCCACGTATATGCACCAGAATGCAGGCTCAAATTGGTTGAAGGCGGCTTTTTCCAGTTCCTGTAAGACCACTTCTGCGATGAGACTGGAAACTGGATCCCATCGGCGTATTTTTGGTCTGTTTGCATGTTTGACCATTAAATGTAAAAAATATTTGGCACAAGACGAAGAGTTGCATGAGAGTGGCACGAGCCAGTAATAAGACGGAACGCGAACTGCTGGAGGCCTGGGTGTCGCATCCTAATTCCATAAACAGGCATGTGGATAAACCACCCTGTTATATTGCCATCCGTTGCCGTGACCAGAAACCGGGGCCCAGTTCCTCTACAAGCGTGCAGGCCACCACTTCAAGGTCACACGCCATTACTCCAGGGACGCCCGTTGGAGACACAATAAGAGACCGTGAGAATGGACTTGGCGTGAACAAGGACTAATAAATAATTGCCACCACCCCCCCTCCCCTACCAACCCCATTTATGCGTAGCTGACGTTTGCTGTTTTCTCATTTACTCTGACAATTGCTTCTCTTGTGGAGCCGAAAGCTCGTCTACCTCTTCTTTGCAACGAGAACCTTGGGCACGCATATTCGCTTCCATACGTGAAGTAATAACTATTTGTTATAAAAAATAAAATTTTCTCGATAATCACCAGGTTCCGGAGACATCAAAAATAGCTAGAAATTAGCACAATAAGTTAAAATATTTTGTTAAGTATAAAACGTAAAGCAACCACTTTCTTTAAATAAAAAGAACTTGCCTTTATTCAAAATATTTTGTGCATATGGTAATTAGCGGATAACAAATTATTGAATATCGTGGAATAAAGTATCTCTTCATTTCGCTCGTTTTCGGTGTCTTCATTGATAAGTTGATTAATTGCACTTCTGTTCGACGCTTGCATCAACACTTTTAAATAAGATATAACTTATCAGCATTTACCAAAAAAGCGAGCTTTTGGATATTATTTCCTATGCAGATGACCATGTAGGTTAAATGTAAAAAATGTTTCAAAACAGAAAACCACCTCATCTGAGCATGACCATGCCTATGTTTTCATCACCTATGATTAAGGATTCCCAAGGGAATTCGAAACGTCAGGCAAATAAAACTCTTGTTCCAGTGATCGCAACTTCTTCCTCTGAACTGCTTCCTGGGACTCGAATATTCTCTACTATTGGCAGAAAACCACATTGTCGCGCATGCAAAATGTCTGCTTCATACCACGCATATTGTCATTCCTAAGATGAATAAAAAAACCTTTCATAATAGGTGACCTCTTCAAAAAGTGATTTTATTGGATACTTAGGTGACGAACTTCTGTGTGTATTAACTTTTTCCAAGATAATGTCACAGTGAAATTGGAGACTTTTGACAATTTCTTTAATTTGCCTGAAGAACATACTTTTTTTCTTTATAACGGATTATTTTCCGCTTAAGGGGATTAATTCCACGATCCATAA